AAATACACTTCGTAAGATCTGCACCAGATAACCTTCCCAGTGTTTGATCTTTATCTGTCATGTTACTTTGTAGTACCAGAAATGTTGAGGTCTATCCCGATTGGATCTTTGCTGTAGGTTCGTGTCGTTGGAAACGCCTCACAGAATAAACTTGTGGTTTTGCTTTACCCACTGAACTACCTGTTAGCTCTGTGGGATAAAACTACAAGACAAATCTTAGTGCAGCATCCTGGGAGCTGTGATACTGCAGTGTTCTCCTTTAGGTGTACTGTGACATGCTTTGATACAAATGAAAAAATAACTCAAGCGGAAAAGCTTCCTCAGTCAAAAGGCTGTTCTGGGACTTCTGGTGCAACTTAACATACTGAATTACATGGGCTGAGCTTACTTTACACCCAGATTCTTGTGTAGGTACCTGACTTCTAACGCTATTTCTTGCTGCTTGAGCTTTCTGGATGGTGTGAAACAGTCTATTCCCTCTATAATAATGAAGGAGTGTTTATTATTTCTTGCTTCAGTGGCTGTAGAAAAGAAGAGACACACTGTGGTGTCTGTCTTGGAAGTAACTTATAAACTTGCTGCATTTTTGTTTTGTGTCAAGAGATGCTCAATAGTTTCACACTGAGCAACAATATTTGGGTTAAATATTTAAGTCTGAGGTTTAATGAGTTAATTTCTGAGCAGCTCAACCAGTTTGCTACTTTATGGTGAAAATTGTTTTGTAGAATGAAGAGTTTAAAGCTAAAAAAATTCAGGAAGAAGTATAAGTCATTCACAGTAGGAATATATATAAAAATTTGGAACAATTCTGAAGCTGCTGTTCATGTTAGGTGAAGTTCATGGAGTCTCTTTTCCCTCTCAGTTGCATGGCAGCTTTTCTGAAATGAAGAGTGTCTCTTGTTCCCAGGCACTCACTGGTGCATGCAAGAAGCTTGAGTGTTAAAGTGAGCTGTTGTGGATGAAGAGCTGAAGCTGTTGCACTGTATGGTGTCTGCACCCAGCAGTGTTCTCCTGATGGGATGCTCATAAAGCAGTGCCACAGCCGTGCAGCATTCAGCATCGCTGGGTTTTGTTCTGCTGTGCCTGTCAAACCTGGTATTTTTGCTGATAGAGTCTTCAACCTCTTCAGAGATTTGAGTGTTCTTGCTTTCTGTTTTCATGTTCCAGTGTGAGAACTGGTAGTGACCTCTGGAACTCAGCAGCTGCATTCAGTTTCTTGCTGAAAGGTGCTTCAGGATACAGAACAAATTGAACCTCCCTGTGTTAAAAGGATGAGCTGTGGAAGATGAAAGCAACCTGTTGGACAGGTAAGCACTGAGCCACTAGTTACATGCTACTTCACAGCTTGTGTTAACTTGGTATGAGCCTACAACAAAACTTCACTAAACTGTTCCAGAACAAAGTGTAGAAATAAATGGTTGTCGAGCAGCAGAGATTACTGGGTATGACAATATGAGCAGGTTATTCATCTGAATCATTCTTGTGTATGTATTTTAAATGGCTGTCACAGTTGGGCAGCAGTTTGTAGTACTAGTGCCTTAATTAAACTGCTTTGGGTTGTGAGGGATTCCTCTGTACTTGGAGCTTTCATGAGACTTTAGGCTTGTTAAAAAACAATTTGGTTTACAGGTTGGCAGGACTGATAGGTCCTTAACTGGAAAGGATGGACTGATTATGGATTGAAGTTCTGGCAAGAGCAGTGAGAGTATCTGGTCATTACCAAGGCTGCTGGGATGTTTCTGTTTCTGGTGAGCTGTGGACATGACCATAAAGCAACTCCATCAGACTCTTGTATTGCCACACAAGGTGGCACCAAGTCTGCTGGGAATAAAGCTTTAATTAGCTCACAGACATATTGCTCCCTTCTGCTGGTAGGGCAAGATCCCAATGAGGTGTAGGTATGTGGCTTTATCCTTGGGTATCTCCCAACATTTCAGCAACAGAGGTACAAAAATTCTAGTTGGAACCTTTGTAGATTGGACTCCAGAGCTGCTGTTCAGAGTTTGTTTTGAACAGAAGCAAAACAGGGAGACAAAGGCTGCTCCTGCTCCATGCAATTGACATCCAACTTCTGTGTTGTTAACTCTTCCCTTACGCTAACCAAATCTGGCTCTTTTAACCTCTAGTATCTGCTGTGAAGTTGCTGCATGTCAGAGGGATGAGAAACACCACCTAGGTGCTACCAAACTGAATGTGAAGGTAAGACTGTTTGCCAGAATGGGTGCTACTATAGAGACATTCAAGGTCACTTCAAAGAGGGTTTGCATGGCTGAAAAACCAGCAGCTCTTAACGCGGTGACCGCATATTGAAATCCTCTGCAGGATGCCGTGGACACCTGGTGTGTGCTATGGTCTATTTATGAGGAGATAAACTTTAAGTAGTCAGGGCCTTTTGGGGTGAAAGAAGGATGTGAATGTACTGCATATTTTTGCAATGCTGATGTGGCAAAGAGGCTGTTCAATTTGCAGCAAGGGAGGCTGGAGAACAGGGTTGTTCCAGTTGTGCTGTGAGCAGTTGTGTAACTTAATTGCTGCACTTTGTGTCCACAGAAGGGCAGCTGAGCTGGGGAAGGGTCTGGAGCATGAGGCTGACTGAGGAATGACTAGGGGTGAAAAGGAGACTTTGGGGACCTTACTGCTCTTTGCAACTACGTGACAGGAAGTAATTGATACGAGGGTCAGTCTGTCAAGTAACAAGTGATGGGACAAGAAGAAATGGCCTCAAGTTGTACCAGGGGAGGTTTAGATTGGATATTAAGAAAAATTTCATCACAGAAAAGGTGGTCAAACCTTGGAACAGACTGCCTGGGGAAGTGCTGGAGTCACCACCCTGGAGGTATCCCTGGGGTCAATGGTTGGAGTTTATCTTAGAATTACAGAACTGTTAAGGTCACTGAGTCCAGCCACTAACCTAGTGCTCATCATCTTTTTGATGACCTTAAAGGTGTCTTCAAACCTAAATAATTCTGATTCCTTTTTTCCTTGAGAATGATACATTCTGAAAGCTGCATGCAAGTTTTAGAGTTGGATAAGGGAGGAAGGAAGCACAGGCTGGGAATGCAGTGGGCACGGAGTACCTACAGGAAACAGTTATGATGCTCGGAAGTCCTGCTCTTGCCCCTTAACACTCCTGTAAGGGGTATAATACACATGTTCCTTGTGCCACTGCTTTTGTACCAGCAGTGTCCTGAAATCAGAATAGAGGAAGGCATGTCATGCTGAGGAAAAGAGTTCAAATGTCTTTTCTCTGGAATAAAAGTGCTACTAACTTTTTCCTCTCAGGTCCTGGTGATGGTACTGTGAGTCAGACATGCACAGCTGTTCCAAATGGAGAAAGAACCTTACTTAAGAGTGTTCACTGCAGTTACTTGGAATTGAACATTCATTCTAACTTCCCTTACTGCTTTGTGCATGTTTGTTTGGAAAGCAGTCCAGAAGCACAGGGAACCTTTGCCCTTACCCCTTCAGTTGTTGCCTGTCACTGAACACTGTACTGAAGCCCTGAACAGGTATTTATTCTGTACAGAATGTCACACCATTTAAATAAAACTAATGCTCCTAAACTGCAGCCTGGGATCATTTCCTGTTCCTGGACTGAAAGGCAAAAAAAAGATGGGGGGAGAAAATTATGGCAGCTGCTCACCTGTGCTCTGCTGCCTTTGCTGGTGGTAGCAAAGTGCAGGGGCTTGATCTCCTGGATCCTGTTCTGAGAAAGGAACAAGAATACTGATGTGTCGTCCAAGAGCCTGAGCAGCCCTTGCAGAACCAGCATGGTGAAGTTGAGACTATACATTCTGTTCTGGCTTACCTGCATTGCAAACAGCCTCCACTTCAATTTGTGTAATAGCAAACTGTTCTGGTTTGCGCTTTTTTTTACTTATGGAGGAGGTAACAAATTGCTTTGTGACTCTGCAATACATGCAGCTACACCAAACTGAAAGAAATCAGTGTAAACAAATTTGAAATGTAGTTATTCAGTTTTCCAAGACTCTTGTTGGAGTGTGAGGCCACAAAAAACAATCATGTGGCTGAAGCATCTCCTGTGAGGAGAGGCTGAGAGTTGGGGTTCAGGCTGGAGAAAATAATATGCTAGGGAGACCTTACTGTGGCTTTTCAGTACTTTAGAGGGGGTTTGTAATAAACATGGGAACATTTTAGCAGGGCCTGCTGTGATAGACCAAGAGGCAATAAACTAAAAGGTGGAGTTAGATGTAAAAAAAAAACCTTTTAGAATGAGGGTGATGGTGAAACAGTAGCTGTTCCCTTTAAAGGTCAACTAGACAAGGCTCTAAGCAACCTGATTGAGTTGGTCCTTAAGATTTTAAAGGCCCCTTCCAACCCCCTTATTATTCTGTGATGTGCGGGTGCCTTTTTTAACCATGCCCAAATTTAATGAAACACCCCTGCTCTTGCCCCTGCCAACAGCTAAGTTCAAGGTTATAGCAAAAGTTGGAGCTTTGAATTTGTCCCAATGATGTAGCTACTTAGGTCTCAATTGCAAGTACTAACAGTGTAAGATTTTTACTCTCTTCCTCCATTCAAGTGCTTCAGGATGTACCTCCTGACTGCAGGAACCCATAGTTCCTAGGCTTAAATCACATAGTGCAAAGAACAGATAAAAAAACCTACAACCTTTACAGAAGGAACATCTTGCCTCCTGTGTCATCTTAAACTTTATTTGGAAATGCTCTGTACATGTATATTACAAAAGTTAGTATGATCTCCCTTTAAAACAATGCACACCACAAAAAGCTTTTCATGTCAGTCTACTCAACCTGAGACAAACCATGTTGAAAGCAGCACTCCCATCTGTTTCTGCAGTGAGCTCAGTGAACATGAGGCTACTACAGGGGTTTGGTTTACTCACTGTTCTCCTACAGCTTAAAGCTGAGGATTCCAAATGGCTTTGCAATTGACCATTAAGTCTGTATCATTCAGTGGTGCCTACTGGACTGTACCAATACCACAGTGTGTCTCTGTTGCTCAAAGTCCTGTGCCCATCACGGTGCTTTCCATGTCTTCTTGGTTCGTAGCTTTTCCAACATTTTCTGCAAAAAATAAAACAAACCATGGGGCTACAGTAGTGTAGCTTCAGTGACTGCACTAGAACCAGCTTGGCTAGGGGGTCACACAGAGGAGCTGCTCCTGTCTGTGTAACCTGAACATCAGGGATGAACAGTGTTAAGCTGGACAACAATATATATGTTCAGTGACCCACAAAAAGCCTTGGGGTAGCAGAAGGGGATGTGTGCTTATTTCTCTTGATTTCTGTTAATTATTGAATCTGTAAAGCAATGCAAGAAGAGCAGTGATTTATTCCACCACAAAGAAGGTGAGGAGGTCAGTACTAAAGGCAGGATTTAGGCCTGGAGCCTCCCATAGCAGTTAAAGCCTGTCAGGATTATCAACCATTTCCTTCCTTCCAGTTGCCCAAGGGCCCAGCAAGGGGGGTAGGAGGAATTAACAACTCCAGTCCTCTTGTTCAATCCCTGTTCTACAGCAACTGCAGGAAAATCCAATTTGGAACTTTCAGATCAGGTGTGCTCAGAATCTTACCCTACCTAGAGTAGCCAAAGCTTGACAAAAGTCAAGTCTGGACTCAAAACCCCTGCCTGCCAAGTCAACTTTCTAGCAGGTGGAGCCTTTTTGCTCAAGTCAGCAGAAAAAGATCAGCCTGAGGCAGAAACACTTTTTATAAAAAAAAAATCTCAGCTTGTAGTGTTGACAAAGGAATTGTTAAGTGAGATGTACCAATGGCATTACTTAAAATCCAGACTGGTTTGATGATCTCCATTTCAGTTGCACTCACATATGTCTTAGTCTGATTAGAAGCTCAGTGAAATCATGAGATTAACCAGGCAGGATGACATTGTAGCAAACTATTACCTTTTGAAACTCTCTAGCCTTTTCTCTGTTTTTAGCGTAAGTTTCTTGCCTTGTCTTTTCTTCCCTTCTGGTTTTTACTTCTGCAAGTTGATTATAAAGTCTGTGAAAAAAGCAGGAAAAAGTTTGTGTATCGGCAGGAAGGAAGTGGAAAAGCTGCAGTAAATAAATTAACAAGGCTTTACACAGGCTCATCACAAGACATAGATGAACTATTCCTGCTTGTTTTTTAATCCAAAGTTCTCCTACTTCGGCTCATGCAGTACCTGGATGTTCGCTGGTACATTTCAATTTCTCCAGACTTCCTGTCCTCCGGAGAAGATACTTTCACTTTTCCTACTTTTTTCAACTGGTTGGCAACTGCACCATTTTTTCCTAGGGAGGAAATAAAAGCCAAATATATCTCCAATTTAAAGCTCTAGTCCAGCGGCCTCAAAAGCATGAGAGGTGGTTCAGAGTTTCACATGACATGACAATTAAGAAACAAGCCAGCAGAATGGACACAATGAAGATGGTGTCTTGGGACAAGTAAATCCTCATAGTCTGGCTCATTAGGCTGCTGTCTGTGCCTGAAGTCAGCTACAGCTCCAACTCCCCAGGAACAGGCATTAGATACCAGCTTAATATGGTTCTTCTCTGCTAAACAGCTATTGTTTGCATGGACACCCTGTGACAACTGTGTGTGGATACTGACAATGTGAAGAGCAGCAACTATGAAGAGGCAGCCAAACAAATTAAAGAATATCCTGATTTGCAACAGCAAATATGTAACAAATACAAAATCTATTCTTTGACATAAAACAGCAACTAAAAGGATACTTAGTGCTGTGGTAAACCTACCAGACACATGACAAGGCTCCTTTTGTCTGTTTAACTTCTCAGACTTTCCTCTTTGAAGCTTTTTTGCTTCTAGCATTTTACTCTCTCTCTCTTTATTTTTTATTTCTTCTACTCTTTTCTGAGATTTCTGGATGAAATTCTGCTTTCTTTTTAAAAAAGATGTCTGCAAACTTCCTGGTGCAGCCGCAAACTCCAGGTGCATCACTGTGAAACAAAGTGGAAAGTCTCAACACTGCTCACTGTTAGCAATGAGCTGAAGTCATGCATTTCAATGTACTTCCCCTGAACTGCTGAGCTGGACCACTTTTGTCAGCTGCAATAGGAGAATGGCATGGTGAGTGATGAGGCACCTTGCAAAACAAGCAGCAATTCAGACCTGTGGAATCCAGTAAGGGTCAGCAGCTCTGCTGAGACAAATGCTGTGATAAATACTGCACCCAAAGCACCTTGGCGCCTCAAAACATATCTAAGACCTGACAAGTCTCAAACACAGTTATGTCAACTGCTGTATTTCATTTCACTGCAGTTCAGCTTGGACAAACAATATTTCAGTATTTTACTGCTGTTCCACACTATCATCAGAATAAGAAATAAAAAATAATAAAAAAAAAGACATTCGTTGGGTACAGGGCTTGGGGCACTAACAAGAACCCAGAAACAAGGTGCATAAATGACAACAAATCCCAAAACAACATGGAATTTTCCACAATTAAGTAGTTACACACAAACTCTAGTGTGGGGTAGATATTATAAGACTTTAATGAAAGATTACCTGGCACAAGAGGAGACAAATTGTTAAGACACACATGAAACCTGGGTCAAATGTACTACAATGCACTTGCTCAAGTAAAAGCAGCTCTAAACACTTTTCCAAAGGAGAGGTGTATTGTATTGGTTATCTTCATACCAAAAAATAAAGACTCACTCTCAACTTCAGTGTATGAAGTTACACATAATTACCTGCAGTTTGAGGTGATGGACAGGGTCTGTTGTTGGGACTCTGGGCTTTGGGAGAACTGTCAGCACTTACGAACACTGAATAATCTGCATCTGGAGCTAGTGGTAGAAATTCTCTCTCCTGTTTCAGAAGGAATCAGTTAGTTGAAATGCTTAACATATACCACAAATTTGAGTGAAGCAGTACTGCTGTACCACTAGCACGAACCCAATGCAAATAAAAGACATTCTTTTGCCTTTATAGCAGATGGGGGAAAAAATCACCACAAATGGATCTTGATAATAAGTATTAAAAGGTACTTTCTGAACATTTTAAAAATTTACACGAATTCATTAGAGTTTTTGCCCACCAGATTTCAATGGCCTGTTCTTAATACAGGGCTGCATAATTCCATCTGGTTTTCTTGCCTCCTGTCCTGTCTAGTTGTCCCCATCACTCTCTTCCTGCTCAGTCTCTTCTCCCCATTCTCAGTGGCAGGTGACACCCACTGCAGCAGTACAGCCCCAAGCTGCCAAATTCCACCTCACCCACATGTCAATTATTTGATGAAGACCCATTCCTAGACACTTCTAGAATTTTGTGTAGATGCCTCTTGCAGTTATAGCATGATTTACCTCCTTTTGCAACAGTGGATTAACTGCTACAGTGGAGCCTCTCCTTATTATCATTAACACCAAGTGAAAATGAGAATTACATTAGATATTGCTCACCTCAGTCAAAACATTACATTCAGACCAATCCACACGTGCAGGGTTATCAATTTTGTCCTCCTTAATTTCCTCTTGGTTAGTATGTCCAATCTCTGATTCCGCAATACTGATGTCAGTTGAGCTTACCAGAGTGAGTTCAGGTTCTTCCATAATACCACGCCCTGACTCAGTCTCCTACAAAACAAATCATACAAGACATCAGCATAAAAACAATTAAAAATAAACCCCCAACTATTTCCAGCAATAGCAACAGCCTTTGTCAGAAAGAGGAAGCTCATTCAACATGTAAAACATCTGCCCCAAGCAATCAGTGAAATACAGAAAGAACACTTGTATAGCAGAGTTCGAACAACTGAAACACATAACCCAAAGGAACCAAACAGAAACTCCACATGTCCTCTGCTCTTCAAGTTTAAATTACTTAGTTCTAGGGCAAAACTTTTTTTAAAGCTACACCAAAGCTATCTCCTTAGGTCTGCTTATGCCTTGGTTTGTTCATTTACCACCTCCAGGCTTCTAAAAGGGGTCAGGGGACTGTTCAGGGAGGTAAATGTGCCATGTAACCCAGCTGCATGTGCTGTACCAACTGAGGCTAAGAGAGGGAGATGCAATAGAGATGCTATTGCTCCCTCCAGCCATTGTGGAAACTCCAGCTCATTTTAGCTACTGCTAATTATTTCAGTGCTATGATCTGAAAGTAGCAGTAGGGCAGAAGTCCAGAAAACAGGAACTAGAATTGTAAAAATCAACATGTGCCAAGCTTTCAGATATTAAGTGTCTAAAATAACTTGGTGAAACAACAAAAACTCTGCTTTTGGAAGCCTGTTTTACTCACCCAGACTGGAATACGACATGAGCTTCTGGGCACAGAATATTTGTTATTTCTTCCCAGGGAATACCCATTCTGTTGCACAACAGCATGCAAATGGATGTCTGAATCTTCCAAGCTGGTTTCTTTGAGAACCCTCAAAGATTCTTGTCCTTCTGGAAGGCTTTGACATAGCTCCTTCATATTAGTATTGCACTGAGAATCCAGCTCCACAGCTTTATTTACTTCATGTACAGGATCTGATTTTTCAGGAAGCTTCACATAATTCTTATCAAATGCCTCTACAAGTAATTTTTCAGAAGACACAGCCTCTTTTGCTAAGTGTTGAGGGAAAGTTTCAGCCACTGTAACTGGTGTGGTATTTAGCTGATAAAATGATTTTTGTTCTTCCAATGATTTCTGATGTTTATTTTGTAGATCTTCCACTGAACAGTGGAGATTAATACATTCCATATTTCTCGCCAGTTCTTCATATTCTCTCACAGATGAAATACAGTTCTCATTGCCACCTATTTTAATTCCAGGGGTTTGTTCAAAAGAACTCTGTAACATGGAGTTAAGATCCACTGGCTCATCAACATTCTGACAGTGATCACTCAGAGTAGATTCTAATTGCAGTGGGTGAAAAGATTCCTCAGATCCTGTTTCAAAAAGCATCAAAAGTCAAACTTCTCACTAACACAACAGAACTTCAAAAGTCTCTCTATAACGAGACTTATCAGTAATGCATAAGAAGTCTAGTAAATAGGAAGAAACATTTTTGTTTAAAAAGAAGTCTGCTTATGTTTCCTCAAACATAATACCATTGACATTACAGAAAATGGGTCTGTCACTGTACACAAAACTTCAAGAACCAACAAAACAATTTTTGTTGCTTCTTAGAATATGTTTAGGGACAGATTTTGTGATGGTGCTGAGAGAACAACATTGAAACTCAATAGATTTTACAACTTATACTCTGCAAATGGAAGTCATTCGAGACCCGTCTGGGCCTCCAACAAAGTCTGCAAAACAGAAAGAAAATGACCCAAAACACGATTAATTGGGCAGAAACCCTTTCAAAGTAGAAGTTGACATTGAAATTGGAACAACTGCTGTTCCTGCAAGCTACAGTATTGCACCCTAAATTATCTTTCCCTTAGGGTCTGCACATACAAGTTAAGACACATTTTTCCCCCTGCCAGAAGAGGCTGGAAAAAGAGAAAGACTTGGTATTGATGTTTCAACTACTGGGGAGGCATTTCAGCAGCACAGCATCTGCCAAACAAACCACAGGGTTGTTTAAACTATTAATATTTTTTTAAAATATGCCTCTGACCTAAGTTAGGTATCACTAGTTATACAGATTCCAGCTATCCCTAGGCCTTTTATACACACTGTCCAGGCTCTGACCAGGACAGGCTTAATGTTTTCAGCAGCCAAGGGCACACTAGGACCCTGGGGATCTTCAGGGTGCCCTTTGTTATTAATACAGTTATCACTGTTCATTTTCTTATTTCACTGCTGTTTCTTAGTGAATTGCTCTTATCTCAGCCTGTGATCTTTCCCTTTGTGCCTCCAATTCCCTCCATCCCGACTCAGGGGGATCCTCCAGGGATGGATGGGGGGCATGTGGCACGGGGGGTTTCAGTGGGAACGCTGAATCGGGGAATACCACTCCTAAACCAAGACAGCCACAGAAACCTTTAATGGTTCCCATTAAACTTTTTTTTTTGCATTGACGTACAAAATATCTAGTTTTGCACATACAGAGAATATCATCATCTGATAAACAGCTATTAACAGGAAGAATTCCACTACATCATCAGCCATCAACTGGATATTTTCCAGATAATGCACTTTTATACCAACCTACCTTGAACTGGCAACCCAAAATAGCCTCTCCGTGCTTAGCCTGTTGCTTGTTATTTTCCACCCCCCTTTTAAGCACAATAATTGGTTTGAGATTACAAAAACCCTTGAGATGGGGAGATATTGCTGCTACATTTAAAGCACAAAGATTGTTTCTATAAGCAGTTTAGAAATAGAATTCTAAAGTTAGAAGGGAGCTTCCTAAGTCCTATTTGCTGTTACCATGGCTAGTCTTAAAATGTAAACCTCTTCTAGCGTTTTTATTACTTTCTATTATTTTGTACCAGCATCTGCCAGCTAAAGAGAAAGTACAAAAGCCACACAGTTGCTTGCAGCTTTCAATATGCATAGTGTGTATCTCCAAAAATTCTAAGTGTATATATATATGCAAATAACAAAGATAATTGACCAGGAACATTTACATTATAAATGAATCTACTATGTAAAATATTGTGCTGCATATCCTGTTGCTGTTCAGCTTTCTGTTGCAGCACCTCAAAACACTGAAACACCTGATTCTTGGTAAATAAAAGCTGCAGAAATACTCAATTGCTACTGGCAGCATTTGAAACTTCAGATTCATTCTTTTGTTTAGAAGACATGAAATATCGAGTTAATTTAAATTTGACTGCAAAACATTAAAAAGTATTTTCCCTGCAGTGAGTTCCAATTAGTTTAATGCTGCTGTAGAATCATAAATTTCTAATCCACTAAATTAATTACAACATGGGAATATAAAGTTTCTTTCTTCCTTGCTTATCTCCTCTTTCATTTTGTACAGAGATAGAGCAATTCTATAATCAGACCAAATATGACAGTGTGCAGTACATATTGCTGTGACTTAAGAGTGGGAAAGAAAAATTCAATCATTTCTGAAAAATACAATGTATATAAAAGACAAATGAGGAAGTTCAGAGACTCTAACACAATCACCTCAAAGTTTTAATCAATTTTTGGAACTTATCTTAACTTCACAGAATCATAGAATTTTAAGAGTTGGAATGGACCTTACAGATCACCTAGTCCCAACCCCTGCCATGGGCAGGGACACCTCCTCACTAGACCAGGATGCTGCTCAAGGTCTCATCCAGCCTGGCTTTGAACACTGCCAGGGTTGGGTCATCCACTGCTTCCCTGGGCAACCTGTCCCAGTGTCTCACCAGCCTCACAGTTAAAATCTTTTTTTCTCACATCCAACCTAGACTTTCCTTCCTTCAGTTTGAACCCATTACCCCTTGTCCTATCACTGCAGTTCCTAACAGAGTCCCTTCTCCAGCTTCCCTGTAGCCCCTTCAGATATTGAAAAGTTGCTATGAGGTCTCCACGCAACCTTCTCCTCTCCAGGCTGAAGGGCCCCAACTGCCTCAGCCTGTCTTCATAGGGGAGATGCTCCAGTCCTCTTACCAACTTCATGGCCTCCTCTGGACTTACTCCAACAGTTCCATGTCCTTATGTCGAGGGCACCAGAACTGCACACCGTACTCCAGGGGGGGCTCTCACAAGAGCCGAGTAGAGGGGAAGAATCACCTCTTTTGACCTGCTGGCTACACTCCTTTTGATGCAGCCCAGGATTCTTCAAGCTTACAAAGCAATAGATGTGCATGAACAAATATCTGGAGAAGGACTTAAACTGACAGTTTCAGCCAGAGCTGATATTACTTCACTACCATCACAATTACTGTATATGGAATAAGTAACATAATATCCATTACAGTGACTTGAACAAGCAGGTCTGCTTTTGTACTGAAGTCATAACTGCTGAGGAAATACACTTCACAAAATGTAGGAGTTCTACCCATTACAAGTAGTGGAGCAGACAGTGTGAGAGAGCAGCAGCAGAGTTAAGGGATTTCAAAGCAGGACTGAGAGAAGCACAGAGACCTTTCCCCATTTCAACATGGCAAACCCATCACAGCAGTTGGTATTTCCATACCAGCAATCAGCTGATTTTGAAAGCACAGATCTGACAACTCTGTACACACCTGGAGTATCGTTTTCTTTAACAGACTCTTCTGGTGTGATGTTGTTGTGCCTGTTTGTGTCCAGACCAGAAGGCACCTTCGAACTGGAGCTTCCCACTTCTAGAAATGCAGATCTGTCTGAACTTTTTGCTGAAAATTTTGAAGTCTAGTGGCAAAAAAAAAAAACAAACCCAAAACAATAATTTGATTTAACACTGATTTTCTCAGAAACATGAAGGATAAAAAGTTAAAGGTAGTATTTGATTTTTGGTTCACACTTCTGCTACAACCAGCAAAACCACTTCCAGTTCTATGTATATCAAAAAATACTGTTATATTTCTTCTGAACAGACACAGGATAGAGATTATACATTTAATCTTAGAAAAATCTTAAGACAAGGGTTTTTCTGCAGTACCTTACTAAATTCTCTACTGTCTTGTGGAATTCTGCATTGAGAAGAGGATGATGATGTATCCAAGTCCACACTTGCTTCCAATGGCTGAAAGAGCTGGTCGTGGAAGTTCGGAAAAGGTTTCCCCATTCCAGGAAAATCAAGTTCAGGTGCTAGGCCTGTAAGAAAAGAGGCTATTTTAAAAACAAACACCCTTCTCAGAAAATAAAACCAAACAGCAGACATATCACACACTACTTCTGTGGGCAGCAAATAATGTATGTAGAATTCTGTAGGTATAGCTTGTAAAAACAGAATCTTTATGGTACTCAAGTCATCCACTGTGATATCATACAGGTAGAAAAAGCAGTATCCAGCCAAAGAAAAAGACAAAAGCTGGTAAATGAATATTGGGGGTGTAAAACCCCTGTAGAATATGTGGATATACTCATCACTTGCCTGGACAAGGCCTTAAGCAATCTGGTATTTGGCTCTGCTGTAAACAGGAAGCAGAATTTGGACCACAATCAAAAGTCCTTCCTGGTCTAGATCAATCTAGAAACATATTAATCTGTATAACTCCAGATTTTCAAACATTCCAGGAGGAACTGATTTGAATAAAATACTAGCATTATCTTTATGATAACTAATAATGATGTTCTTAATTTTCATGAATTGTACATTTTTCCAGAGAGCACAGAACTCCCACCAATCAGTGTTTCATTAACTGTGTGACTCTTGATTTATGTGAATCATAAAGTATGATACATTAATTCTCGACATCTCTGAAGTGAAAGCTGTGCAGAAACAAGTGGCTAAAATGGCACAGCTAACAAACAGCCTAGCCATGGTGACAGGAAGCTGTGCAGAACTGAGAGACACCCAGTCAGACTATCTTTCTTGGTTTCTACACTGGACTATGCTTCATGAACATGTACATCATGCAAAGCATAAAGAGCATCAAAAATTTTAACTTCTTGCATGTAGAATCCTTACTGACTTTAAAATGTAAGCTCAAGATACATAATACAGACCAACACAACACTGAGTAAACTCCTCCTCATTCTGTATGATGTGAGCACAGGAGCAAAAACGCTACAAAACAGCAAATACCTTGGAAATGTGTGCTGTCCTTTGAGTAAGAGTTCAAGTTCCCAGGATCTTTCCCCAAGGTCTGCTGCATCTGACTTTGTTTATAAAGGTACACCTTTCCTTCAGAGAACTGAGTTTCAGGTGCTCCAAACAAATTCTCTTGCCTCTGCTGCAAGGTAGAAGGCAATGAGGAGCTCCACGGGTAGCTTGCTACTTCTCCCAAAATTCCAACTTCTGTAATATCAGAAGACAATCCTGAAATAGTAAAATTGATATTCACAGTTTTGCACAGAAATCATTTACATGAAGTCATCTGAAAAGGCACTGCTTAGTATCCTGAAATATTCATAAGAGTTCTACAGTTTGGTTCCTTTAATTGTTTCCTGTAAATGCGCCTAATAAACCTTACCACACATTTTCACAAATGCAAGCTGATATCCAATTATACAGCAGTCAGTACAGCTTAGTGCTTTTACAGTATATAGACTTAGGAAATACTGAAGGTACAGAATCAGAAAAGAATACTGTTGTTTTATGCTAGCTAGCATATCTTTACCTCCTACTGCATATAAATGTGTCAATCCTTTCATGTGATCTTGGGTATCTGTATGACACGGTGCAGTACTTTTATTTAAGCTTAAACAGAAATTGCCTCATACCAACACAAGAAATATGAGGGATCAAGGCAACTAAAATCATGTTTCTACTTAGCACACCAACCCTCCTTTATCTACATGCTTATAGGAGAATTGCAGAAAACTATCAGAAAAGGTCATTACTATGCACAGAGTGTATGGTGAAGACACAGCTAGACTTGAAAAATTTATTCATGCAGCAAAGTAACCAAAAACTTCGGTATTTTTCTCTTACAACTAGAAAAACAACAAAACAGTTACAAGCAAATGGATCTTAGAATTTGCTTTAGCTTTCTTACATAAATAAACCACAGATTTGTCCCAAGTTATGAAGGTTAGTTCTCAAAATAACACTTAGCAGTCTGAAACATTAGGGTTAAAATGAGCCACTGAAATCTCAGGCTGTAAAAACCGTAGTCTTCAAAAACTGATTTATAAACATGTAATAACTTCTATACACAGATGTTGTTTAAGAATTGTGTGTCAGATTAACACAATATAAAGCCTTAAAGTAAATAACTCCAAAGGTCACTATCCAACCACTTTCAAACTCACTTCCTATGTTCACAAATAATGTCAGGAGCAACTATATGTTTATTATAAAGTAATTACTTTTGATTTCATGGAAAGCTAACAAGGTCAAGAGGCAGACTACAAACAAAAAAGGTAAGGACACTTATTTCCCAGAAACCTATTAAAAGTCAATACGGCACTCAAATGTCATTTCCACAAATAAGTGATTAAGAGTTATTATAGTGACAAGCAGATACTCCAACAATTCTCTTACAGAAAGAAAACAATCATAGTTCTATAACAATCTATGACATATTGCTAGAAACTTTATCCTCATTTGAGGATCATTTGCTACCTAAAAACTGCTGATGTTACAGTTGCTTCATAAAACTTGAAGTATCTTTTGCCAAAGCAGCTGCATCACATTACGTTACTACAGAAGTAAAAAATCATAAGCAGATAACAAAATTCTGGTTATACTCAACTCTGTAAGATGTATTAATCAGTTTTAAGTGAAGTTTGACATTAGCATACTTTGGAAGAACTTACATTCAGAGCGTTAGACCCACTCCGACACAAAGAGAAAACACAATCTACCTTTTACAAGAAAAACAAAACCCAAACACTTACCAGTGTCAACAGGGTTTGCATCCAACATTTCACTAGCTGAAAAGCTCCCAGTGGAAATTGTGGAAGATAAATCACAGGGTATTCCTTGTATGAAACCCTCTGAACCTGGTATTTCCTACAATGAAATAACATACCTATTACCACATATTCAGATGCCCAGAATTAAAGCTTTAAACCCACACATTTAATTCTGAGCTCAGCTCAAGTGTAGAAGCCTTCATGTTTTGCACAGTCAGGCAAATACATTCATCCTTGCTCAGTACAACACATTCACACCCCATGCCCCAGACACCACTCCCCACAGCCCCCTCCCCTCAACACACACACACAAGCACACACTAGTATCAAGCCTCTCAGAACTGTATATAAATCATGACACCTGGAAGATTGTTTTATCTTCTGGTGGTCAGATTTGGCTATTTCTCATCACAGACCCACTTCAGTAGAATTGTAGATCTCAGAGGAACATATATGCAAAACAAAAAACTCAGAATTTTACAAGTACTCACAGTACTGAGCATTTTGCATACAGAAAACTGACAAAACACTCTAAAGCACGGTCTCCCTCAATTTTAAGGTAAGCTCTATAGTCACAAAGCAGATAATGAGGGTTCTTGTACTTCAAAATTTTGAAGAATGGGATACGAACAGTTCTTTCCAAACTGACTTAAAATGTGCACTAAATAAATCCATGAAAACCTTTTACAATTATCATTATATACCACCTTATATAAATATATTCAACATATACATACAAAAAATTTACATTTCAAGTACTTTTATATACACATAATAGACAGCATTTTTAAAATACTGTTATCTCCTGACAAAATGATGGGATTTTTGGGCAAGAGAAAAACAGGGGATATCACTAGTGTTGATTTTGGCAAGGCTTGTGACACACTCATGGTATTCTACAGTCCCAGTTTGGATGTCACAATCTGGATGGATGAATGATGAGATGGGTAAGAGAACTGGCTGGATAATCAAGCTCAGAGGACAGCAGTTAAAGGGTTACACTCTATGTGGAGGTGGGGAACAAGTGGAGTACACAAGGCTCCCTCCTAGGGCCTGTCCTCTCTAACACCCATCACAGTGACCCAGAGGAGGTGTTGCCACACTATTACCAAGTCTGTAGATACACCAAATCAGGAGGACAATCCAATGCACTGAACAGCAGAGCTGGTATCTACCTTGTGAGTCTGGCCCTACAGGAATGGCATGGAACTCAGCAAGAGCAAATGCCAAGTCCAGCATCTGGGAAGGAAGAAGCTCATGCAACAGTCCCCACTGAGGCCTGCCTGGGGAGCAGCCCTGTGATTTCTCTGGAGCCTCAGCAGACAGCAAGCTGAACCTAAGCCTACAGTGTGCCCTGTGCTGTATGAACAGGAACAACACCAGCAGATCCATCACAGTGGATGCCTCTCTTTAGTTGCGGATTGTTATACTGCTGCACCTAGAAAAGTGCACCCAGTCTTATCCCCACAATATGAGAAAGAAAGATTACAGCACCAAATAAAGAGTAAGTTATATGATTATTCTGATATGACCAACCGTATTATGAAGTCTGAATGATGGTCCAGAATGTGTTGTAAATCCCTCTTCAACTTCAGCAGCAAGAACTGGTGAATCCTGAGTCACCTGAGAATCCTGGGACTGGGCTGAACACAAAGGTAACAGAACCAGTAAGGAACAAGAAGCAATTTTCGAGTTCCTAATGAGCAATGTTTTATGGAACACCAGAGGGCAGCAACACTCCACTGCTGCCAGCCTTGCTGTGATGAACAGATTTTGTCCATCTGTAATCACTTTCTTCTCACCTACGACATACTTTTCGCTCGACTGTATCACCAATTTAATCAGCAACCAGTGGTTCCCCTTAACCAGCCTTTCAAAAATTTCTAACCACCCTAACTGCTCTCCACACAGCAGGCGGGAAGAGCTCGAAATTCCAGCTTCGGCTTTGCAGAACGAAACACAGCTTTGCTGGCCTTACTGCAACCATTTCATCGTAGTGGGGGGAATCTTTTACAATCTACCATTGCAGTGATTACAGAGACAAGCAAGCATTCCAAGGAGATCAGAGAAATCAGAAACACTGATTGGTTAGCTACAACATGAATGCTACCATGGAACTGAATCACCTTTGCCATGATGCTCCCACACATAAATAAGATCAGTTATCTGTGCAAAAGAGGCATCATAGCAGCATGCAAAAAAATGCAATTTCTGCATTCAGTGCTGACAAGCACCTTCAAAGTTTGACAATTCTATGACTGCAAATTAATTGCCACAAACAACTCTAAAAGAAGTATTCTTATTACCAGTAATAATTTTCAAGAAAGAAGAGCTAAATACGAAACTGAAACAAACCAGAAGTGAAGTAGGTGTGTTTTCTCCCAATTCTAAAAGGGCTGTTAGTGACAAGAGACATTTCCAATCCCCAGCACTTGTAAGACTCTCTACTTAGGCAGATCTTGTAACATTTTGTGAATCCTAACACTAGTTAGCACCTTGTATATGCTGAAACTTAACTTCTCACCAGATGGCAAAGTCTAGTTGTTCCAAATTTCCTACTATAAAAGGGGGAGGGCTGTTTTCTCTGTGAGGCAACACCATCGATATGATGTGATAACGATTATGTCCTCAATAAATATGAAACATTTTGAAACTCATTTCAGGGAGGGGAAAAAAAATAAAATCTAAGGTTTCCTATAGCCACCGTCACCCAGTAGTATTGCAGGAGAAAGTACAAAACATGAAAAGAAATACATCTTAAGAAAAAAGAGAAGTTAAGCTATTCTTAATTCATTTATTATGTTATTACATCAAATGGTAAATGACTGACTTCAAAGCTAAACAAATTTTCAAATTACTTCTTTTCCCCCTCACAAATTCTCCAGAAACTCCTAAGAGGCTCATTCCTGATCATTTATGGCTTTTGGGTTGGTAACTGAACAGAGCCGTTGGCAATAGATTTGGCAAATAAAAGAGTGGAAGAATGGTAAAGAGATGCGGTAGCACTGCAAAGAGTAACAATTAACTCAACCTCCTGCAGCACTGTTCTAATACAGATAAAATGAGAACTCTAAGAGCACAGAACATTGGTTTCTGATCCCTCTTCTACCAGTATGTGACAAAGGCCTTCAGGTTCACAGGAAAGGCAATTTTTAAGGTTTGAATAGAACAAAGTGGCAATGAGCTCCCTGGCTGAATGTGGCACTGGTGTGACTGAGTACTCTGCAGGTATTTAAATACCTCCATAGCTGAAAAAACACACAGTACAAAGTATTCCCAAACTTAAGGAAAGTAATAACAAGAAGTAGTGGCTAGAAACGTCTGTCAGACATTCAGAAGCTGTAAATAGGCTATTTATTTTATAATTCGATAAGAAAATAAATGCAAAACAAGCTACTACAGAATTCTCCATCTCCTGATAACTTTACATCAAGATTAGATATTTTTCTGAAAAGAATTATGTTACTTTCTATAGAGTATCAGTGTGACAGGTAGTAATTTAGGATAAATATGAGATGAGATTCAAGCATTTAATAACCTCTTGTATATAAACCCTATGGAGAGCTACGCTACAAATGTTTCATTATTATGCTGTAATAACCTGCATTGTTCTTGTGATACTAATACAAGGCATGAAAAGCAGCAATTTCATGCTATAAACCAAATTATTTAATTAAAAATACAACATGCTCACATCCCATTACATTAGCAAATTAATATCCTTAGAAGTCCTACATTTAGTGACTCGCTCAGGAGGGTTTTTCATTCTTCTCTCCTTCCTCTAAAATAATAGTGCAAGGTTCTTGTTCCTCACAACATCCTGACACCTACATGGGACTGTCATGTTTTAACCTCCTGGCCACCACACTGTGACAAAGAATGTGTATTTAAAAATTGAGTCTGTAATATCCAGAATGCTGCTGGAGTTTTGTTTGGTTTTCCCCAACAGAAATTGCAGTAAAATAGCAGCAACTATTTTAGGGTGCAATTTAAGACAAATGACTGAGAAACACACCACTTAGCGACAGCAATACCGAATCAGGGATTAGTCCAAGTCCAACCACGTAGACAAACAAAGAAAAATGTACTCCATGCTAGTTTGCTAAAGTGGTAATAGAAAAGACAGTCTGTCAAAATAATGAATTATAGACAAATATCTGGGATTGCTAAAAATAAATTGGAATCTTAGGTTAGCTTGGATCACAGGAAAAATAATCATGCTCTGAACAGTATCTCTATACAGGGTAGCAATACATGAAGATAATCACATCTGAAATGCTCAAGGGAACCACTGAATATGAATAAAGAGAGACAAGCACGCCAATATGTAGTGAAGGAGAACTGTGAGATGCATGTGTGTCTAGTCACTACTTTCAGGCTGGCTTCCTAAGGAAATTAGGTTTGTGCCACCTAACTGCCTCTCTCATCTGTAGGGTCACTCTGCAATTCCTTATGACCAATTTCAAATCTATTAGCCCATTCTAACCTAATTGGATAGAAAAGAATATCAAGTTTCCAAAAGTTCTCAACTGATCTTGTCATATATCAGTGGCATGGCAAAAGAGAGTAGTTTGGGTCTCAGCCTCAGCTGGTGGCACTGACTGCAAACACCACTTGAGCACTTACCTGTCCTATCTGGCTGCAACCAGTACTTGCAAGCACTCAACACTGAGCACAAGGATTCATCCTCCCCTAACCACAAGTAGCCCATAAGACTCATTTTACATTCAGGTATGCCTGCCTCTAGATTTCAGAGGGTTAAAGTTATTTTTCTTCCTGTAATAACTGGAAGAAAGAAATACAGCTAATTATAGAAGTTTTTAAAACAAAAGCCTGTTATCCCAGGACAAGTCTCATATCAAAGGAAACTCACTTTTGCTGAGAAACTAAATCTGCTTGGATACCATGTTTATCTTTTTAAAAACCTGTATAAAACTTTTACCTTTTTATCACTAATGTTTACTATGAAAAAGTATGTGAGCAGTGATTTATAGCATTTGTGCACATCTAGTGGGTCTGTAATCACAAGCTTCAAATAATAAGGCCAAAGTTCACACATACAAAACACTCATTTGCTCTCACCTTTAGAGAAACAATTACATCTTGAAAGCATGGGAAAACTGCAAACATGATTTGGTTAGAATCAAGTAGTGAAAAAAAGCCAATTAAATAAATAATAAAGGCTACTTATCATAAGCAACAACCTAAAACATACCTTAAATATTCCCTTCAGAAACTCCACATTTAACAGGGAGTGGAGATTTTCTTGCTGAAAAACCACACTAATTACTGAAAGTACCACAGAAAGCCTCACAGCCTTCGAGTTACAAAGATACTGTTGGCAGTTTTAGCTGATCTGCTCAAGAGGACAATCCTCTTAAATGCACAACCACAAAGCTTTGGGGTTTTTTTCCTTTTAATATAGATGTTCACATGAAGTGTCCTAATCCTCTTACACAAACCATTGCACTGTTCATATGTTCATACATAATACTCTCTAATGTAAAAAGACACTACCCCAAGATATTTTAATATTAATTTGGTTACAGCTGCTCTAATGTTTTTACAGCTTATCCAGAAAAATACAAGCCTTTTCTTCAAATACTGTTAAAAGACAAAATTCTTTAGTGATAATGTAAGTTTAAATATAGATATACTTCAAAAGGAGCATTCTGAGATACAAGGAAAGCAGCTGGGAGAAAATGAGCTTGCATGTATTTATCCAAAGCAACTTCAATTCCTGTAAACCCTGACTGAATTGGAAATCATGTCTGAATACAAACTAAATGAAAAGTTAAAGATTAGGGGCAGCAGTGAAATTTCTAGCAGAACCAGGAGATGAGTGCTACACAGCTGTATCACTTGTAACAGTGTGCATGTAAAGGCAGCCAAGTTTCTGAAAACTCCTCTGCAGCCCCAGTAATGCATTCATTTTGGCAGGGTACTGAAAGCTGTACTGGAGCATGAGACGCTGGCAGCTTGTAATAAGCTTCAAATTGCTTTAGTCAATGTTTTACAAACTTTGTCAAACTGTTCCCAGCAAGACAGGCACAACATTTCTCAACTACAGCAACAATAAACTGCATTTCAACCTGCAGGAAACCTGAAGAGAAGCAAGTGTATTGCAACTGAAAGTACTGGACAGACAAGCTAGATTTGTATAGACAGGGAAAAACCAGTAGGAATTAAAAACCTTGACTTCCACTTGTTAGTCCAATCTCTTCAAAAGCCTAGTAACCAGCTTGCTTTATTTACCTAAGACTAGTCAATTTTGTCCTTTTACAAAGTCAGTCAAGCTACTCACAGGACATTTAGTAGGTTTCAATGTCTCTGTAACAAAATTATTTTGAATGTTCTCAAACCACTTTATAACAATGACTGTTGTCTTGATAATGAAAACAACTTGTTTTACCTTATGGGATGTTATGTTTTTATTTTATGGAAACTTTGTCACACATGGACACAACCTATCCTCAAAGGTGTGATGCCCAACAAAAGCTCTTCATGGACAGAAATACAGGAACAGAGTTAAAGTAATCTTTACATTATTGCACTTTTTTTCTTTTGACATACTCAGTGGAACATGTAAAAAGTGTATAATGGCTACTAGAAAAGGTCAAAGCAGAACGGACCTGTCTTGAATTCAGGTACCAATACTGGGTATGCATTGACTTGTCCTTGTCAGGAGAGACCTGTGGCAGCTACAAGAAAAGTCCAGGTGTCTGGCTTAACTCTAGCCCTGAGCTAGACTCACGAGCCGAGAGTCAAGGCTGATGCATTGTGAGTTGGTAGTCAGAACTTCCCAATAATACAAAAACTGCATATACAAAATCATTACCTCTCACTAAGCAGGGCGACAGACATGAGGAAATGGAAAAAAGCTGCATCAGGGCAGTTGAAATTGGACATTAGGAAAAGGTTCTTTACTGAGCAGGCAGCCAGTCACTGGAACAAGCTCCCTGGGAAAGTAGTTACAGCACCAAGCCCATCAGAGTTCAAGGAGCAACTGGACAATACTCTGAGTCATATGGTTAATTTTAAGTAATCCTTCAAGGAGTAGAGAGTTGAGCTCAATGGCCCTTATTGTGTCCCTTTCAACTTGAGACATTACAATTCTATTTTTATGTCTGTCCCAACTAATAGCTGATTCTTCCAAAGTTGTTTTTTGAGCTTGATGGGAACAGTCAGCCTTCTATTTTTTGTCTCCACAGTATTTTAAAGTAATTTCTTATATACCCTGATCTTTCAGTGGACACCTAGGTCAAGGTCGGCATGTTAACTCTCCAGAGTTCTTTTTAAGCATTTATTTCCTTTGTGTCAGCACAAGGAACCACTGGGTACTGCATCAGGCACACCACTGGTCTGCTCAAAACAGGTTCCCACCTGGTAGAGCTGCAAACGTTTAAAGACAATCCTAAAAGGTACAGATAACTAGAATGGTAATAGATCACACACCAAAAAAAGACAAAACCTCATTCATTCAGAGACATATGCTCATTGAAACACTCCTTTTTCACAATTAAAATTCATCAGCATTTAAGTAGCACTGCATGTTCTTTAACAAGACAGGTCATAGTCTACAAATAAACAGCAGTAGAATCAGCGATGCTGAATGGTATTCAAATAATTCCTTGAAAGAAGAGGATTTCCTCACCTGATTCACATGAAGTTTCTGCAGTCATCATCAGCACCTCCTGTAATAATCTACCTGACTCTTTAGTTTGCCTTGGACTTTCATTAGAGGTTTGTTCCTTGTGGTTTGTTATGCTCCAAGGTAATCTGCCTTCATGAAGAGCATGACTGCAACATTTCACATGTGCAAACTCCCCAGCAGTTGAAATGGGAGAAGACTCTCCACCACCAGAATCTGTTTTATCTGAATTTAAAACATTTGCAAACAGTTCAGGAGCAGAAAGGCAGTTTTTTCCACTTCACAAAAAACATTAAGATACACATTCTATTCTACAGAAATAACTTGCTGAATTTGCACAGTCTCCATTTTAATAAAGTTAGACATATCAGGTCAGTAAACACCTTCACATCACAGTCTATGGACTACACGGGATGAAAGATTATACAGGCCATAGACTTCTGAAAAAATAACTCCACTAAAGCATTCCTTTCAAAATTAGAAAAAAAACCCAAAAAACAATTTTTTCCATATATCAAATCCAGCAAAACTTTTAGCACTTTTTCCAAATCCAGAAGCAATATAACTTCTCTGCTCTGGTTTAAAGATTTCTTCCCAACCCAGCACACACAACAGCCCTTTCTGGCCACCTAGTTCAATAAAAACCTCAAGTTCGACTTCTGACTACCTACCATGACCATTGGTTTGCTAATATAGGAATAAATCACCCATGGATCATAATGGGATCACACAGCTGTGTGCAAATTACTGAGCCAAGTGCTTTGGAGAACATATTCTTCAATCAAAAACCTCCACCAACAAAATCTGCTGTCTAATCAAGATACCAAATTGATCCAACAAGAATCATTCTGCATAAACTGATGCTGACTGCATTAATGACTTTTGTTCAATTAAAGCATGTCCCGTATCAGCTGTTGCATTATTTTGCTCAAGATGAATGCCAGTCTGACAGGCCTATAATTACACAGATTGTTCTGCTTAGCCCTTTTAAGAACATTGGCACAATATTACAAATTTTGTAAAACATGCATTAACTTTTAGACATTAAGAGACCCTACAAAAAAGAAATTAAATGTTTACATTTAGAAAACATCAGTTTGCTGTACCTGTTAATTAACATTCCTTATAGAGAATGGCAAGCATTGCATGCAGACTGTAACAAATATATGGATAAAATTATAATTGATTCTGCAGTTGCTCCAAGAATTTGTTTTACAAAGTGTTTTGTAGCTAAAAATATAAAACACAACTAAAAAGCTGGTCTAAAAATTTCTGTAGAAACTTGATACTAACTACTTACTTGAAATATTTCACAGTCACTTTCTTGGTGTGCTCAAAAGCTAAACCTTTAAACACCATCCACCAACTTCTCTTTACAATTAATGTACAACAGTCTATTACCACAGACTCTGCCCAACAGAAAAATCATCAGGGAACTCAGGTCACAGAATAAAAGTGAATTTTCTTTTTCTGGTGAATTTTGTTTAAATTACATTTTTCTAAACAGACACTGACAGGACAACCTTTTGTGAACCACAATTCCCTTTGCTAGTACATAAATTATACCTTAAAGAAGGCAACAGTATCAGCTATTGTTTCCTAGTCAGTCAGCTCAGATTCTTCAGGAAAGATTAAATTCCTCCAATCAATTTCTCATAACAATAACCTCCATTATATTTTTATATATTACCTGAAAAAGACATGCTGCAACAATTTGGTGTGTCTACCTCCGGTATAACACTAAGTTCATGTTGCTGCAAACCAAACCCTAACTTGACTTTTGTCACAGGTGGTTTGGAAGTCCTCCATTTCTGTTCTCTATAGAGAACTTTCTCAGAGTGTTCTGTAAAACAAAATTTTGTTATGTTGCAATGAGACATCTACACCAAATTAACTTGGGGAGATGGAAGAGAACTCCATCTCAGCTGTAAAGCAATAAAAATGATAATGAAAAATAACATACAGCCTTACCAGTCTGCTCAACTGGACTACAGCACTGTGAAATCGTTTCACTTCTGTGAAATTTACTCCTGCCACTGTTCTCTTGCTGGTAGTTTTCTGACACTTTGAAAAAGTCAGTTCTGTTAATCCAGTCAGGCTTTTGTGCCTCTGTCATTTCTTCATTTGGACGCACATGTCTCACCTTGAAAGGAGAGGAAGCAACTGTATGTAAGACTTTATTTATACTCATTTCTCAAACCAGTGTGTATTTCATGCAGGACAATATTGAGGTTTTGGAGAAAGTAGATCAAGCGTGCCAGATACCAGATAGATTTGCTTAGCTCATAAAATAATTTTGAAATATAGGTATTTTACTTAGCTCTACAAACCTAATGTGCTAATACACAATTAATTGAATTTTGAAGGCCTTTGTTGGATTAGATCTGAATGCTCAGCATTTTTAATAGGCACAACTTCTCAGAAGTCTGATTTTAGTATTTCAGCTCCTGAATTCAGGAGTTTTAGCTGCCTGGCGACTGCATTGCAAAAGACAAAACTATGGAGAACAGTTATTTTTCTAAGATGGCTTCTGTTTAAAAAAAACTAAACAAGAGAAGGCAAAAGGAGGCTCTTCAGAAGCTCAAAAACTAACTTGATTTTTCTCCTGTTACTGAGAAACAAGCAGATTACAAGTCAAGACTGCTGCTGCCAAACCAATTTCCGAGTGGGTACGCACAAAAAGACAAGCTTCAAAAATAATCTATTCAAGATGCTTACAACACGCTTTCAGGCACTGGCTAAGTATTGTCAATACAAGAGCTGCTTTACACACAAGAGTTGCATTTATAGAGATGAAGCAGATTATACTTGCACGTATTTCAGATCACATAAGAATTTCCACAGGCACTACGTTCAGAGACCAAGCAACAACGCTCCCAGTATTTCGGTTAGGCTGAACCAAACTGTTCTCTTGGCACTTATAGAGGAGAAATACTGATTACCAATCACAGGTCCTAATTAAAATTTTCGTTATGGCAAATCACCTGAAACTATCAACACTCCTTGGGATACTTTGCTGCTTGGCAGCATTCACTTGTAAGGTTTGATCACTTACTAATGATTCCCCATGCAAAGCATTTTTAAAGCTTACCTGCTTGTTCAGAAATTCTTTCAAAGCCTCTTGCTGTCGCTGCATCTGTTCCTTCAATTTATCTTGCTTCTGTAAAAGCAGTTGTTCTTGTATTTTCTGTCTAGAAAGAAGAGCTTCTCTTTGTGCATCTAGTTGCTCTTGCAACTCTTTCAAATACTTTTGCTGAGCTTGGATGTTTTCTGATGAGGCCAACACTCTGTCCCTTAAATTCAGTATACCAGAGTAATTTAACAAAGATGCATCTCCTGGTTTTGATATCAAGAATTCCTCAACACCCTGGGCTTTAGATTCTTCATGTGATAAAGTGGGTTCGGAATGACTGAGGGGCTGTCCATGGCTTGTTTTGCTGGTGGTCTCTATAGATACCTGCTGATACCCCAAGGAATCAGCCGAGGCACTCTGAACTACCTGAGAGCTCTTTGTTGCTGGCATGAGGGCTGTCCTAAGTGGAGGCTCTTCTCCAGCTTCTGTTTGATGGTTAGATACCTTCTGAGACGGCTCTTTAAAGTGCACTGTTTCTGAAGACTCAGAGGAACCTTCCGCAGGCAACACAAACCTAATGTGTTTCATTCCTACTGCAGTGGCATCTTTCATGACTAACCCTGATGGTAACTGGAACTGAGATGGTTCCCTGATGTGACTACTGGAGGTTTTGAATATTCCCACTTGTTCCTGTGAAGGACAGTCACATGGCAAATGCAACTCTCCATGTGCCAATTTCAATACTTCTGAAAACTGCACATGTTTGCCAGGATGAACTTCATGCATTTGGTCTTCCTGTTTCCATGAAGATGGTTTTTTCAACATATGCAGTGTTTCTGAAAACACAGGGAGTGACTGTGCACATTCTTGGGCATTAACTTGTTCCGATGCCTGGAATTGTGTTGGCTGCACCCCTTGCCTCTGTAGGAGTGGTTCTGAGACAGGCTTTAAATCAACTGATTTTGTTTCCACAGAGCTCAGAGGTGTTGCAGAAGTAGACAAGTATCTTTCCTTCAGTGTATTCTTATACTCCTGTAGGTGCTTTCTAGCTTCTTCACTGGTCTGTTTGCGCAGCCTGAATAGAACAAAAACATCAGTCTTTTCAGAATGGCGCAAAAAGAAACATCTGTTTCAATCAAAGTAACTCAAATGACTTTGAAACAAGCTTACATTTCATGAAGGCATTACCTGTTTTGCTGTAGAAGGTGCTGCTGATAACTACGAATCGTCTGTAAATGGGTGACTTCTCTTGGACTCCTGCTTTCTGATACAGTGCTATTTCCAGTCTGAGCAAAGCAAAATATTTTAAGTGCACAAATAGGACTAACTCACAGAAAATAATTGTGCAACCACCTTAACCTGTATGTTCTTTCTCCTAAGCAAGCTTACAGAAGCCACTCTGTTCCACTGTTTGAAGTCTGTGAGATTTCAGACTGAGGCAACAAAGCTAAAGGAGTTTCTGGAACAGATGGCCTACAGCTACAGTGTCTCTTGGCAAGCTGAGCATACACCAAAGTCAATGGTGCTTACAGCAGCTTAGCTTAAAGAGGTAAATGTACCCAGCAGACTCCAGGACAAATGATCCAGCAGAGCTGCACTTCCAAGGCAATCAGGGTCTCAGAAGAGTACAGGTTGTGCAAATGATTCAAGATTTCGTATATAAAAAAGATTACTTTCCTTCAACTTCCTCTATAAACTCCTCTCCTTTAAGTACCTTTCTGAGATTTAGACATACAAAAACATTGAGGTAGATTTTTGTCTTTTTTTTTACCATTTCTTTTATCCTTCTTGAAAAAGGTTATCACTACATGCACAATCATTATGTAACTCTGAACAGATTTTACTAACAGGTATTTTAAACAGACATGCTGGGATTACGCATAGACAATACAATACTCAGAGTCACAGAATATCCTGAGCTAGAAAGGACCCACAAGGATCATCAATGTCTAACTCCTGGCCCTGCACAGGACAGGCCCAAGAATCACACCATGTGTCTGAGAGCATTGTCCAAATGCTTCTTGAACTCTGTGGGGCTTAGTGCTGTGAACACCTCCCTGGAAAGCCTGTTCCAGCGCCCAGCCATGCTCTGGGTGAAGAACTTTCTTCTAATATCTAACCTAAACCTCCCCTGACAGAGATTCATGCCATTCCCTCAGGTACAGTGAAATCATATGAAATACAAGCTTCTACATTACAAAAGGAAGCTTTTATATGTACGAATTTCTGACTCACAGCCTAAGAAATAAAAAGCACCTTGACTGATATAATTTTAAAATGGCAAATGGTGTTCTTGATTTTTATTATAGCAATAATTAAAAACCTACACACAATTTTCTACAGTTCTTCACCTGATGCTCCATTTGGTTCTGCTGATCTGTAGAAGGAGGACTGTGGCTTTGTACCAGCTGACCTTGTTCTTCCTCTTCTTTATTTTTCTTAGCCTTCTCCAAACAGGTTTGCATTTGGATCTTTAGAAAATCAGCCTCCAAACGTGCTTTCTCTTCCTCAATTTGTTTAAGCAAGGCCAACTGCTCCTGTTTCTGTTGCTCTACTTTCTCATTCTATTAGAGAGGAAAAATGAGGGTGAATTTCTAGAACTGAATGACAAATATCAGACTCCTCACATACACCACGGCACCCAAAACTTGGTTCCAAATTACAGCAGAAATCCTGTTGCTTGTGACAGGCATTTCCAAATTGCAAGAGGCCTTTAAAAGTAGTTCCAAAGTTTACAGGAATAATTTTGGTTTACTGGCTCATTATTTCTAACAGTCCCTGAATCTATTTATTATTGCACTATTATCTGTTCTCAAATTATTAGAAGAGATAAGAATCAGAATCTAACCATTCAAGGTACATTATCATTTTTCAGAGACCGCAAAAGAACTCCTTTTCTTACACTGACTTCAGAAATCTACTTTGCATTTTATAGAGCTTTTCGTCAAGAGTTCAACACATTTAAATGCTAATTCAAGCCTTGCAAAACTTAAGAAATAGCTAATGTATACCCACTTTGAGAGCACTCCATAAATCTCTGAAGTAGTTTGCTTATTTTTATTCTCTATGTACCTATCATCTACAATTCGCTTAGCTCCAGCACAGCAACAGCACAGATGCTTTTAGAAAGGAAGCAAATAAAAATTTCAAAGTACTGGCAAATATTAAGTGGACAAATAGCTTTTAATGGGCTGAATGAATAACACCAAGTTATTATTTTCTAAATATAATAAATGTAGCATTCCCATGGCCACAAAAAACTGCATTTGTTTCCTAGTCAATTTTAAAAAATTACTCAAGGTTTGTCTGCTTTTTCTGTCATCCTAAAGTCAAACCCATAGACTTTCCTCCGTTATTTCACAGGGTTAGTAAAATTTTCAGTTCTATACTGTTGATTATATCATCCCTTTACAAAGCAAAGGTATTAATGTACAATTGGGATTCTCATTTAGCCACAGGGTTACAGCCCTTGCCCATAGCACTTGTTAGATTTGAAAAAAATGGGGTTTTCCACTCTACTCCAAATTACAGCTTTGTCATTTTTAAAAAGTATAGATACTGTTACAGTAAAGTTTAAGTGCTAAAAGCACCTATAGCTGCTGTATAACCTGAAGCATTTTAAAGTTTTCTGTAAATATTTTTTTTATACCATAACTGAGATAGGACTCAGTACAGACACACTTACCCACTTCTGATTCTCCTCTTCCAGTCCAATTTTAGCTGCTGCTTCTTCTTGAGGATGGATCAGACCCGGATTTTCAGCTGCAACTGTATTTTCCATCATTTTCACAGAGTCTGAAAGATACATGTAATTTACCTGTAACTAGAGTCATACAGAGCCTTGGATCTTCTTTACACCTTGCTTTACAGTTTCCCAGTATCTCTAAACAAAATGCATAAGCTGCTTTGGAAAAGATCTCCATTCTACTACTCTGCCTGTCTCCATAAGCTGGAGCATCACTTTTTTTAAGTTATTTAAGCCTTTATGGCCCTTTATCACATGCCTTTTTCCTGAATACACACTAACGGCCCAGCTACAATGGGACTGAAGATTGCTTCTACCAGATTACGTGGAAGCCCAACAACAAGACCACCCTGAAGAATCAAAAGTCACACATTAACCTCTCAGAACAAAGAAGGTTTAAAACTGGCACTACTCTCTAGGCAAATGGACATTTGGCTATAGCACAAAAAGCAATTATTCACTGAGTACTATTAGCCACTAGCTCCAAATAACAGCACATTTTCCCCAGAGGCATGTTTTCACTCATGCTGCACTCTCCAGTCCTTAGGCATTACGCTGGTACATCCATGTACACAATTCAACTAAATCAGTTTCTCTTGTTTCAAAAAAACCCCAGCACCCTATAAAAGCAAAGAAAACACCAAAAAGAAAAAAATGTCACTACTCGGTCACTTGAACACTTCAGAAATCCCACTTAGCATACAAGATCACCAACTTCAGCACTAGCTGAACCAGAAGAGCACAAAGAACAGAAAAGGGAAGTAACCCCAAAATTATTTGGCTCCCAAACAAACTGGGACATCTAATTGCTATAAACTACAAATCTACAAAAAGGCTTTACAGAATGGTGCCTAGAAGCAGAAAAAATACCCACACATCAGCTCGTGCTTGTCTTGTGCATTTCTAGCCATGAGTCTCTAAAGAATCTGGCTTTTGCAGGTTCAACTCAAATTCAGTTTTCAACAGAACTTCACTGCCTAATTTTCCACTGAGAATTTTATTCCTGGTGGCAAACACCTATTAAAGTATGGCAACAGCAAGTATGACAACAATTTGGGCAAGACTTAAAAGACAGAACAGTATTCTGGATATCTTTTCTCCACAATGCTCTTAATGGATAACTTAGACATATAAGAGCAAAACATTCTCCTGTCTGTGGTTTACAACAAATCCACGGTGGATTGTGGGCGCAGATAGGAAAAATGTACTTTCGGTCAACATGACAAAATACTAATGCTGAAAATCCGTTAAACAGCTTTGTCACAGTCCCTCCTTACAAGTCCTTTTGCTCCTACACAACAAATTTTGACACAAACACGTATTACATACCTTTGGCTTCACATACTGTATTTTTCTGTTGCTCATCTAAATCACGTAATGGTCTCTCTTCACTAGCAATTGTGCCTGACTCAACAGTTTCAAATTCACTTTGACTCTCTTTCTCACTTTTTGATGTCCACTCCTCTTTCTGGCTTCTAATCCTGTTCAGCAATCTCTTTAAGGCAAGTTTTGACTGAGGTTGGCGAGTTTTTGCTTCTTCATGATCTATAAAGAATATACACTGTTAAGAGTAATGAATATTTTCACATGATAAAAAAACATAACCTTTTTTTTTACTTGCTTACATAATTAGACAAGGAAGTCAAGTATCTTTTTAAAAGCCTAACAGTATTTTCTCTTACCTGCAAGAGAGAAGCAGTACTTTGTGTCTGCATGCTACAATGGGAGGGCTAAGCTAGCTGCAGTGTTTCACAGCTGGACTGTTGCAGAACTAAGCAGCACTATCCCCCCACCTGCCTTCACATTCCTGCCTTCTTTGTATTAGCACCAGCAACACAACACACCACAGACCAAAAACCAGACTTTGCCAACAAAGGGATGCAGCAGAAACACCTGGCCAAGCAAAGTTCACTTAACACACTTCTTGTTCACAACACATTATCCTGCACATGCCACAAGCAAACAGTACACACACATGCATCTGTTGCAGCCTACTCACAATATGTAGCAACAGACTCACAAACCTGAACATAAAGGACATACAGTCAGTAGACTTTCATATAAAGTCAAGCTTTAACCTTGAAATATTTCAAAACACAAATTGAAAAACATTAAAATTCACATACCAGCATTATTCCATAATTTATATTCATTACATAGGAATAATTATGGTTACTGATGGTATAGTTCATACAACAGCTAAAAATTATGCTCAGTATATTAATGATCTGAATCATATCAGAAAAAGAAGTCACAATTTCATTTTAAAATTCATAATCATTAGGGTATTATCATCTATGATAAACATCATAAACCACCTGATACTCATATTTCATATATTAAGAAATTTTAGTACTAAAATTAATCTGATATATTAAACTAAATCTCTTCTAATATAAAATGAAAAAGTTTAAGTTAAATATAAAGTGTAGGAGTTTTACTTTCTGATTCCCTGGGGATCACCTCTGCTACCACATGTTCCGATTCTTGTTGAGTATCACAAGCAGAGTCTGGTTGAGTGCCACATGCCGATTCTTGCTCCAAAGAGATATCAAGATCATTATCCTGAGCTCTGTCAGAAGGGGCTGGTAAAGGTTGTGGCTCAAACTTCAAAATCTGGTCTCCTTTCATGTCTAATTAAAAGAACACAACCACATAAAATGACCAACTCAAATACAAAGCAAACAACATTGCAGGACTATACTCACATACCAATCCCTAAGAACTTCCAAATATCAATAGTTTGTTTCACAACAGATTTACTCCATCTATTTTTCCCCAAAATAGAAGATTCAAAACTGTTTAGATCATTAGCCATCTATTCATTCACAAACTCTACAGCGTTTTCCACTACAACATGCTGTGTCTTCCAAGATAAAAGTTGTGATGAAAGGCTCATCTTTACACAAACAGCAGCTCACAGGAACAATTACAGAATCCAAATAACTTCAACAGACAAAAGACACACCCTGACCTGGCTGCTCACAAAGCTGCCACAGGAGCGATCACATGGTCCAGGTGTGAAATCCCAGGAGACTACTCAACAGGAGTTCCCCCAAAATCACCTTACCAACTGAGGGGGTTACTTCCTACAAGGGGTGTGGGACACATGGGAAGGTGGATATTAGAGGAGGAACCAAAAACAGGGAAAGGAAAAAATCAAGCTAGTCTAGGGAAGAACAAACGTGAGGCAAAATAAAAGATTAAGGAGACAAAAAAGAGACAAGTCAGTACACTTGTCTGACCATACACTGTGACTGTTTGTCCTGTCTTCTCACTAAATTCCACTTCTAGTTGTTTTCCTCAGTGAGGAACCATGTATTTTGTATGCATGTATACATAAGGGCCAACAAGTGGAGCAAGGACCAAAAGTCACAGGCACACCTGTGTTCAGAGCACTGCCAACGGCAGAGACCATAATGAGTGCATGTTACATGGCTGTATCAGCATGCAGAGGCTACCAAAATCATAAGCCAGACTAGCCAGCAAGTGGCTGCCTAGTAAGAGGGTATCTTAGGAGCTAGGTATCACACAGCTCTAAGACCAGACTGGATATTCAAGAGGCAAGGGAATCCACGAGTTGGCAGGGATCAGGAGATCCAAGCATTCAAGCCAGCTACAGGGGAGACCATGGGATCTCAGGGTTAACTAAGAAACCTGCCAACACATGCGTGTGCATCTCAGAGACAAGAAGAGGATCCAGAGTCAGCTACTGGGTAGACCAAGCATTTAAGGTCAGTTCCCACAGGGATTCATAGCATGTGCATGTCTGCATATGTTCACACACCCAACTGGGTGTGTGTAGCAACAAGTGGACTGGAGAGGCAGACCTTGGGGGTTCATATGCCCAGGAGACAGCAACTAGGGAGACTATGGATCAAGGGCCAGCTGCTAGGTAAAGTGAGTGTCTGAAGCAACTCACTGAGTGATCCATAGCACATATTTGAGCACATGTGTATTTGCGTGTATACTTGAATATGAGAGGTAACAGGAAGGCTGCAGAGTCCAGAATGAATTACTGAGCAGACTGGGTGTCTAAGACCATTACTGGAGGATCCATAATACAGCAATAGAGACCTGGGATGCAGGGGACAACTACTGGATAGACCAAGTGTCTAAGACCTACTGCAGGAGGGAGCCATACCACACATACAGACATATATCCCAGTAAATCAGCCTTCATCCTGATTGTGCAACAGAAAAAGGCCATTTGTGCTGTTTGTGTAGAAAGTGAGCGCTGTGCTTTCTGTGCTGGCCTGCATGGCCAGCTGTGTATATGGGTACTGAAAGCAGCTTCACATGCATGTGCCTACTGTGAATACACACAGAGCTCTCGGCTGGATCTGGGAACACGCAGCTGCAGCAGCCTCTCCTCTACTCAATCTACCAGATTCAGCAACTGTCAACAAATTACTTACTCCTGTCTTCACTGTACATTTCTTCAAATGCGAACTCCAATTCTCTCTGCCACTCTTCTTTGATCTCCATGCGTTTACATGCTGGTACTAAAAGCTGAGGTGGCACCTGAGAGACAGCCTGTCTTCTGCGCAGCCGGTCCACGTTCTGCAGCCGCTCAAGCTCTTCCAGTAGCCTTTCCCTTTCCTTCAAGCATAAAGAAGGGATAGCATAAACCCTTAGTGCTCACATTCAGACAGCCACATGTCAGGACTGACAAAACACATCCATTTGTTTACCACGATGTTTGCTTAATCCTTAATGTTTGAAGTCACTCTCATTTTAGGGAGACAATGCTTCCTCAGGAAAAGGCTGTATCTGACCTTTAGACACAGGATATCAATACTACCTAGGAGTTCTAATGTTAAATAAAGGATCAGACCTGTAGGTCAACTTTCCTCAACAAAATTACATCCTCATTTTATAAGGTGAGTACTTCTTTTGCCAAGTTACTTCTCTTAGTATATACTTCAGTAATTGCTACTTTATAAGATGTGAATTAAAGGCTCTTTGGCACACTGTAATTTTATATATGTGAAAGCTACCAAGAAAAAAACCTGTATTTGAAGTTTGGGTGGGTTGTTTTTTCTGTTAAGTTCAGGAGCATCAGCAGTAGTTCACAGTTCCCTATTTTAGTTCAGTTACTCATTCAGGGCCAATCGCATCTCAACTGATAGACAGGAAACTTTTGCTAATTCTAGCCACCACAAACACTTGTGAAGGTATCAGACAATAAAACAAATTTTTGAGTTTAGCTCTTGATACAAAGAACTTTCTCAGTAGCTCAGTTTTCAGCATTTCTAACAGAACTTCAGTCAAAGTAAAAACTTTTGAGAAGTTTTCAAAAAATAAGAAACAAAAAACTTGTTACTTTCTTAATAATAAATTTATTTTCCTGCCTGAATTACAGAACCACCAACTCCAGCTAAAGCTGATATGGAGAAGTAGAACTCATCACCTAATTAAAAAGTTTAGCTTGATTATTACCTATTGGTTAATGGCTGGTCAAACATTCAGATAACAAAACTTATGAGGATGTTTTCATTCTCCCTCCTTCCAGATGCCAAAATAAGCAAAGAAGAGTTTGATCTTTTTTAAGACATTCTTAAAAAGCTTTATTTAGTCCATCAATTTTCCTCCTGTAAATGTCATTCCTTGCAACACCTACAACTTACTTAACAGTGGTCATTTTGACATTAAAAGCAGACATAACTACTTTGCCTACCTTGGCCAAATGGACCTTCTTCAAGGCATGACACCCTCTAAGATGTGCCTTTTCAAGCTGCTCTCTTCTCTCCCTCTCTGCCTCCCTGTGTAGTTCCTTCAAACGTTCCTCTTCTTCTTCAGCAGCTAACCAAGCATCTGGCTGGCAGTCAATCAACAGTTTAGTCCACGAAGTTCTTTGATAGTTTAAAGCATATATAACAACAAATAAATGAATAATTACATGGTAAAATGAGAAATACAGTCGATATTACAGACTGACTATTTCTATCCTCATGGTTTTGTTTTAAACAAGGAGGGGAGAAAACCCATCCAGAAGCATTTTCATTCTCGTTTGGGAAACCAGGAACAATCTGCAATTTTTAAAGAGGAAAAAACTAACTAACATAAAATTTAAAAAATACATAAGAAAAAAATCATTCCACATAAGCAAGGCTAAGAAGTTTAACATTTTGGAATTTACCATGACAAAGCTGAGCAATCTACACTATCTCCTCTTGTTGTTTAGACCTAGTCCTTCAAATGTTAAAAAAGCCTAAAGGTTTAGAATGAAAAATTCATGAATGCAGTGACAAAAATATAACAAAAAATTCTTTGAGAGAGCTTTTCTAGTCCAAAACAGGTCAAGACAGAACAGGAACTTAGAATGTGGCCTTGCATCACTAATAAAACAGTTATTTGGTTCACTGTTCAACAGCATTACCTTAATTCAAAAATCACCTCTAAAAGCTAAGCTCTTGCTCCATCTCTCACTCTTCCAGGTCCTCCCTTTTGTCTGATCTGACTTTGGCCTTTGTCTGAACGTACTGTAAATTTGAGCAAGCTTTCCTATTTTTTAAAAAATCTGACTGTTGATTTTGCCCAAATTAGACGTCTATCATTTTGGCAAGCTGAAACTGTTGACTGCATGAACATATGAACACAAATACAAGGTAACGTC